TTTTGTTTCTACTTTAAAACATTAAAACTTTTTTATTTTTCTAGTTCAAGGGAATGAAGATCAGATCTTCATATAACCGATTTTTGAAACAAGGAATTAGATGCAAACATTTTTGTTTCAGACGGGATAAAAATGTGTAACTACAGAAATTATAGCATGGTTGTGATTTAGGTTCTCAATACACATACAACAGCTCACGCTATTGTTAATTGGCTAACAGGTATAAAATTCTACATATTGGGAGGTTCCCTACGAAACGCCTGCTGGGGTAAATAGGTAAAACTGGTCCGAGAAGATGAAGAGGAAACTTGTTCCACTTTAAACCACACACACACTTTGTTACGGGACAATCAACGAAGAATAATACGTGATTCAATTTAGTGTTGATTAAGAAATATTTTCATTTATTTACAAACATGGCTTCTCTGTATCCCGGCCAGAAGAGTTTGAAGATAAATTTTCATTCTATAAGGACCAGGGCGATTCCGACTGAAGCACTAGCTTTACTTGGAATTATATTCATGTTTAAACTCTACCGATACTTCCCTGGAGGCCTTGCCATACACACACATTAGGAGACTAATCTCATTATTAGAAAAAGGAGCAATTTTCCTGTATATATATATATATATATATATTCAGACTTCGTGACAAAGGAATTACTGGCCACATAAAGAAGCAAACACGCCTGCATTAGCCCTGACGACGTGTATTAGCCTAAGGGCCATTCACAGCTGGATACATCCTGTTCACGTTGTTTTCATTTGTACAAAAGTTTTGAAAAGTTTTACCTGAATAAAAACTTATTCATATTGTAACGTTTGAAAGGGATACAGGTATAATATTTGCACATTATTGATTGTTAAAGTGAAAAAGGTGTTTTGAAAACTACCCGTGTGGCCTGATGTGCTAAAACTACTCCTCTTCCAAATCAATAACACCTAATTCATCAATGAACTACTACTAACAGCAAACACAGTGTACGAGAAGAAAAAAAACGTAAGAAAACGCACATCTTTCAGATGTTGTTGAAGATGAAACAGTAAGTACTGTTTGTTAATATTTTACACGTTAATATTGTTTTATGTTAAACACAAAGCTACATCTTATTAGCATTTATGTGTGTGTATTGCATCGACCTAACCACCAAAGTCTTCTGCTTATAGTAGACACAGTGAAGATCACGTTGAAACTGGCACTTACAAACTAGTTAAAACTAATACACTAGACACCTAGTTGTATTCTCACACGTACAAAATAAGTAATACTAGCAGAGACCCACAAAACATTTCCGGCCAAATTAGTATCTTTATCGTAACAGTACTTCTTTAAATATAACATTTCTAGCACAATACAAACGAATTGTAATCGTAGACAACGAAATGTGTACATCCACTTGTATATAGGCCGTACTTTATAAAACTTTAACTTATGTTAGGACTACGTTCGATAAAGAGATAAATTAACACTGTAACCCGTGTACGTTGTTTTTTTACTTTAGTTTAGTTTCGACTAAACTTTACTGTACTTAATACTATCGATAAATAAACTTATAATGTTATTCTACGACCTAACGTCAAACCTTTTTCTAAAAACTTTAAAAAGTTTTAAATATTCTGTTGTACAGAATGGTTAGTAAAGTATATTTACATTCCCCTTTTGTTGTTACTTCTTGTTTCATACAGCAATTGTAGCGTACTGTAATC